TTTTGTCCTGAGCTCTGTGGAGGGATCTGGAGAAGACCAGCAGGAAGATTGCAGATTCCGGAATCATCTACTCTTCAGTCTACGCTGCCTCAAGGTAAGTATCACACCCACCAGCCTACGCCTAAAAACTTCCATCAGAGGCTTCAACGCCAACAAGATCATCTTCAACGCAGAAAGAAAACTACTAAACGAAAGGGTAAGACAGATCAACTATAAATTGGACGGTCTAAACGCGAGGAAATCTAACCTTGAAAAACTACTGAGGGAGAAACTATCAGACGAGATTTTTGCCAAAACTAAGGAGTTCATAACACGCGGACAACTTGATCAGCACGAGAAGGGAAAAGACAGACAGAAGACCAAATTTGATCGTTTACAGCAAAAGAAGACTATTAGCGCAGCAGATAGTGACCCAAATTGGAGATCAAACAGTTCCGAACCCAAAACCACTACACAGGCCAAAACCGACGAGAGGTGGGTAAAAAACCTAAGTAGCCATACTCTCACAGAACCAGAGAAATCACTACTTTCTAAAGGTCTAAATTTTGCAGTAGCACCCGACAAGATTCCCAGCATTGACATTGTCACAGAAACCGATTCTGCAATTCGTCGGGCACGTTTACCACAGAGACAAGCTGAAGCCTTGCGCACCAAAGTAGCTACCACCCTGAAAGTCTCCAAACCCCCTACTAGTAACATCACACGGGAAGAACGTACCGCTCTCAAAGATTTGGCTACCAATCAAGACATATTGATTCTTCCTGCAGACAAGGGCAGATGCACAGTAGTCTTAGACAGGGAGCAGTACGACAGGAAGGTACAGGACCTATTGGGAGACAAAGACACCTACATGCCCTTGAAAAAGGACCCCACTAACAAGTTTAAAGGGAAAATCAGTTCAGCTCTCAAGAAATTGCAAACTGAAGGAGTTCTGGATCGCCCCACCTACCTAAAACTCAATCCCACAACGGAACAACCCCCTGCTTTCTACGGCCTTCCCAAAATCCACAAACAAAGTGTCCCTCTACGACCCATAGTCTCCAGTATAGGCTCAGTCACCTATGAGTTAGCAGGTTTTCTAGCCAAGATTTTAGGACCACTAGTGGGGAAATCTCAGCACCATGTACAGAATAGTGCCGATTTTGTCAACAAAATCAAAGACATTCACGTAGAGGATGATGAAACCATCACTTCGTATGACGTGTGCTCACTTTTCACCTCCATACCACCCAAGGAAGCAGTGTCAGTAGTCAAGGAAGCCTTGGAAGCCGATGATACACTTGCAGATAGAACCAACCTATCCGTTGACCAAGTTTGTGAGCTACTAGAACTCTGCTTAGGATGCACTTACTTTACCTACAAAGGACAGTTCTACCAACAAATGCACGGCTGTGCTATGGGATCACCAGTCTCACCAATTGTTGTAAACCTGTACATGGAGAAGTTTGAAAACAAAGCCCTCAGCACTTTCAATGACACTCCCCCGGCCAACTGGTTTCGATATGTAGATGACACTTGGTGCAGATTGAAAAAGAGGGTAGCTGCTGACTTCTTTGACCACATCAACCAGATAGATGACAACATCAAGTTCACACAGGAGCCAAGCCATGACAACATGCTCCCTTTCCTAGACACCAAAACTATCGTAGAGGAAGATGGTAACCTTCGTTTCGAAGTGTACAGGAAACCAACCCACACTGATCAGTACCTGGCTTTTGATTCCCACCACCCTTTGGAACACAAACTAGCAGTGATCAAAACTCTCTTCCATCGTGCAGACAACATTGTCACTTCA